GGCGGCGGCAGCAGGAACAGGAGCGGCGGCGGCGGCATCCCCGAGACTCTTCGAGCTACCTTTCCCTCTGACAGCCACTGACGTTTTTCGCCGCTAGAAGAGACCCCGCTTCTCCGGCGCCTGCCTTCCCTTCCCCCTCCCAGCCCCAGCCCCGCCAGCCCCGCTACCTCTGCCAGCATTGCCACCATCAGCACCACCTCCACCACCACCGCCACCACCACCATCACCACCACCACCACCACCACCACTACTACCACCACCGGCGGCGGCAGCAGCAGCCATTTCATCTCCACAGAAACCAGACACAAAAACATGGCAGAAATGGAGAAAGAAGGGAGACCTCCGGAAAATAAGAGGAGCAGGAAACCAGCTCACCCAGTGAAAAGGGAGATCAATGAGGAAATGAAGGTATATTTGGACCTCGGGGGCCGGGGAGACAGAGCTCTTTCTTCCGCCCACTCCCCTTTGGCCGTTGTATGGATTTGGGGGTCCAGGGGAGCGCTTGTCAATTTCTGTAGGATGCCCAGAACGCCTCAGCTCCTCCTCCAGGTTCAAAACCGAGGCCAACTCGCGGGCTGCATCCCCGAGGTTTGCCTCCCTCAGATTTGATGGGGGGGGGGGGACGGGAGAGGAAACCACACTCTATTTAACCTCATAAAACCCAGGTTGATATTGACGCGTTTCAGGGGAAAGGAACCAGAGGCCCAAGCGGTGGGTGGGCATGGTGAAGAGGCTTTACTAGTGGACGGTGTAGTTTCTCTCCCTGTCGCCGGGTATCATCCTTCGGATGGTTCAAAGTTAGCAGCCGCCCGGACGAGGCACTCTGGGAGCGCCCATTGCCAGTTCTCCCCAGTTCATTTCTCAGCTCCTCGGTCCCGCTTCCCTGCAAGTAGTCCCGTGTGATGGTGTGAAGGGGCTGTCAGTGTCACAGAGAGTGGCGGCCTGAGAGCGGCGCGGGTCTTGGTACGGTCCTGACGGCAGGCTTGCCTCTCCCGCAGCCTCCGGCTTCTCTCCCGCGGCTGTCGCTGTCTCCCGCTGGCCTTTGAGTGCCTCACTTCGCAGTTAATCAAACCCGAGGAAGCCTGGCTGGAAGATAGCGGTCCGAGGGGAGGCTGTCGCCGGGCGTCTGCCCATTGTTTGCAAAGGCCAGCCCGGGCTCCCCGCCAGGCCAGCGGTGCTCCAGAGGTGGCGAGCGCAGCAGCCTGGGGCTCCAGCTGTTCACGTCGGAGCGGTTGCACGAGAACACCGCTCAGCTCTGGACCCCCTCACCCCCTTATTTTATGTAAAGTTGCAGCTTTTGCCCTGGCGAGGGTTTTATTCTATGTTGATATCATGAGGCTTTTTTATTATATTATACTGTGTGTGTGTGTATACACACACACACACACTCCTTCTATATGTTACAATGAAGTAGCAGGTTTGGCGGACTTAGTTTGAATTCTATAGCTTTCTTGAAGTTCCCCATCTTCTGCATAGAATCCCTAATACTGCCAGCTGATTTGGTCAGTTTAAGTTTGTATTTGAAAGAATGGGATGAAAATGGCATGTAAACGTTTTGTCATTTTCTTGATCAGACCAAGCATATTCTAGGAGAACGCCTTGTATGTAGCCCACGCTTAGAAAGGGGCATATGGATAGACATCCTTATGTGTACTAGGTGCATATGCTTAGCTTCCCTTCCTCCCTAAAATGTCAGTAGCACTCTAAATTTTGGAGTTAGGTTTTTTATTTCTGGATGAGGAACTTAGTGCCTGGAAGCATCAACTGCAGGCAGCATTGGTCAAAAGGAGAGTTAAGGAAGAATTGCCTTGGAAATTAGTACTACCCCTGTGATGAAAATCACCATTGAGTCCAATGAGAGATTTTTTTTTCTTTAAAAACAAAAGAAAACAAAACAGTGGAAGGAGCTGTCTTTTGATGCTGTAGAATCCAAACATTCTATAATCACCAATCTTCCTCACTTTACTCTTCCCTCCTGCCCTGCATTTCCAGATTACTTTTCCATTTTGAATTAGGGGAGGAGGGAAGAGGAGAGACGAAAAGGCCATCAGGAAATCACAGTGTGCACTGGCCCTTTAAAACACTGCCTAATGTGATCTATATGGATGGCAGCTTTTAAGTTTCATAGGTTCTAGAATTACAAATTAGTTAATTTTAATCAAAACATGTGAAATGTTATCCCGGCTGGATATAAAGGCTGACTGTGCTCCATGCTTGGGGCTCACGTTGTTGACTTTGGCTGCGGGCACACTCCATGGTTTGGGAGATAGTTGTCCTTCTACAGTATAACAGATGTTTGTCTGAACTGGTGAGGAAGAAACAGAAACAACATTGTGTGAAGGGGGAAAATTACACAATTTTCAGCCAGTGCTGCAGGACTAACTTAAGTATGGAATTAACCTTGGTGCACAGAATTTCCTCTTTTTAAAATGTTATTATTGTGTTTTTTTCCAAATTGCCACATACTATTTGAAGTTTTAATCTTAGTCATTTTCATGCAGAGAGCATCGAATAAGAATTTTTACCCAATAAATAATTCAGTTGCCTGTAAGATCCGAATTTTTGCTCTGGTTTGGAACAATGTAGGAGAGCTTTGGCTGAAATCTTCAGTCATGTCCTGCACACGGTGTCAGCAGGTCATGAAATTCCTCTAAGATAATGGCACCAAAAGTTCTCATTTCAAAAGTGATTTCTCAGAGTCCAAAGGCAGCAGAGTTATTTTGAACTCCTTGGTATTTTTTTGCTTTTAACATTAATAACGGCATCAACGAAACCCCTCTCCAAACCTTGTGATATTATCTCATAATCTCCTCAAACCCAAAGTGTAGAGTAACCTAACAAGTTGGTCGCCCTGTATAAAAATGTGTGCAAGAAAATGTCACCAAGAACACAATGTGGCCTTGTGCAGCTCCATATTGGTGCTGCTGGAGCTGCCTGGCTGTGTTTGCCTTCATCTGAATGGCTTTCATCTGGACCAGTGTAAACTAAGCCCTAGTAAGTAATCACTGCCCAGCAGAAAGAAAGGAATGTATACAGCTAGCACGGCCTAAGCTGTAAAAACGGAAACCTGAGCCCCCACTGCGGATCACATATCAAGGCTTGAAGGTAGGGGAAATGAAAGGGGGAAAGAGGAGAGAGCGAATGGAAAAGTCAGCCTGGGAAGTGAGGATCAGGAGGAGGCCCCCCTTAGGGAGATTTGGCTCAGGGATTAGGGAATTTTATCGTGGTGTACAGTGACCTACTCAGGTTTCAACACTGGTTGGATCAAGTTGCTTCTCTGCGAGCTAAAAGAAAAAGGACTGGTGTGTATGTGATTTTCCCCCTTCGGGTAATAGAAAGGACATTGGTACAAGTGTCTATTTTAAGTACAGCAAATGCAAGGCACTGAGAAGGAGCAACAAACTTGCCTCATGACAGAGATTTCTTTCAAGATTTCCTAATTGAGATAGTCACGTATTTATTAAAAAATGGCTAGAGAAGACAATCTGGCTGAGGTTTAGCTGACACCAGTAATGGCATTGAGGCTTGTCTTCACGTGGCTGGGAGCTAATGTTGGTTGCTGTTTCACTAGATCAGATATTGGGTTACATTTTCCTTATCACTGGTTTAATGTACATGGCAGTTGTAACAAATTTAAATTTGATACAATATAATTTTCTGTGTGAAAGTACATGACTTGGCATAGCTTTCTTAATAGTGTACTTCAGTGAAAATGTCTTCAAGCAGAAATGTTTGTTTCACAATGACCTTTACAGTGTTCCTTTATTTTTCCTTTTCTTCTCCTGTCTTCTATCCTGATTTTTCTTAGTTACAAAGACTGATTACTCTACGTTTGTTGTTGTTGTTGTTATGTGCCGTCGAGTCGGCCCCGACTCATAGCGACCCCTCCTTGGGTTTCCGAGGCAGTATCACTACGGAAGTAGGATTGCCCAACCTTCCTTCCGAGGAGTGGCTGGTGGGTTTGAACCGCCAGCCTTCTGGTTAGCGGTCAAGTGCTTTAGCCACTATGCTACCAGAGCTCCTGATTACTCTACAGTACTTAAAATTAGTAAGCCTTATGTAATTAATGACTAATGGAACTAAAAACCAAACCAGACCCATTGCCCTTGAGTTGATTTCAACTTATAGTGGCACTGTAGGACAGAATAGAACTGCCTCATAGAGTTTCCAAGGCTATAAATCTTTACAGAATCAGACTGCCACATCTTTCGTCCGTGAAGTGACTGGTGGGTTCAAACCGCTGACCTTTTGGTTAGCAGCTGTGTGCTTAACCACTGTGCCACCAGGGCTCCAACTAATAGAAAGGATTTTAAAAAATTAGATGGTAATGTGATTATATTTTGACTACTTGCTTTCTAAAGTGAATATTATGATTGTATCTAATGTAATATGTCTGTGATTCACTGTTAGTTCACAAGTATCATAATAAATAGGTGTTAGGAGGGAATTCTGACATGGAAATGCTAGTGAATTTCAGGAGTTCATCCAGAATATGGTAGATACGCTATAAAAACTAATTTGTATGAGTGAATGTATCCAGATAAGTGTAAATATAACTGCATTTATAGTGAAATAAACAATATTACAATTCAAAAACCCTAAACTAAGAATTCAGATATGAATCAGATCTTTATCTTGTAAAACTCTTGGACAAAACCAACATGATTCGATCAAACATTCTGCCCTGGAAACTTTCCTAAACAAACCATAGTTAATACATTTACAAAGTTTGACTTCTTTATCAATTGCTAAACTACAGGATAATCTGTTTTAAATGCCATAGAGTCTCCTTTGCTTAAGAAGTTTTCTGTCTATAAATTTCTCAGTAAGTAATTTGTACCTAAAATTATGCTTCAGTCCTGATGCTTACAGTTTGAGTCAGGCACATCTGTTAGAGTTTAGTAGTAAACTCACCACAAGATTTTCTAGTTTAGTTTCTGATGTTCTCAGTTTGGCATTAAACATGACCAGTGTCAATTGTGTAGACAATAAAGCCAGTTGCAGAGCTGAGCTAGTGAGTGTAGTGAGGTAAATAGCTTGGAGTTTATTTATTTATTTAGAAAAATTGAGTGTGAGTCGGAAACATCAGTGTTTAAGGTTGAAAGCAGCTCATTATTAAAAGAGGTGCATTTTAAGTTTGGCCTCTGAACTCTGTCCTCGTGTCGACACAGTAAGTTTCAGGAACCGAGAAAGTGGCCTTAGGACCAGATCTCACTGTGGCATTCAGAAATTATGAGAGATCCCCCCTGGCTGAGCAGTGGTGTCAGGTATGCCACGTGGCAGGGCTGGGGACTAATGCCAGTCAAGACATGGTTTCTTGGGAGCTGTCTGGGACGTTCCAGAGCCCACCAGCTTTCTCCTTAGCATCACTATCAGTTGCCCTACTCGGGGCTTCAGTCTCAACCACT